GGTAGAAATGAGGGTAGAAAACGGGGTAGATCTAACCTTCTACCCTAAAATATATTTTTGTCTGATTTACGCTCATTACGATGAAGAAGTCTTGACAAAACATTTACGAAGAAGTCTTGACAAAACATTTACGAAGAAGTCTTGACAAAACATTTACGATGAAATCATGAAAATTCAAGAGGGTAGAAAAGAGGGTAGAAAAGAGGGTAGAAAAGAGGTTAGATATACCCATCTACCCTAAATTATATTTTTATTGAATTCAGCAACAAATTTCATGAATTTCCTTAAGATAGAAAAAATAAAGTTAATTTTATTTTTTTTATTTTTTTATTTTGTATGTAAAGACAGATATGTCAACAACAGAGAACACAACAACAGTTATAGTCCATGAAGCTATAAATGAAGAATATGAGTGGGTTCAGTTTAACAAACAACTCCGTCTCATTCGTTCAGTCAAAGACGATATGTACCAGATGCAAAGTATTTTGACAGCATGTTTTGCTCCAGATACTAAGAAACCACAAGACTGGTTTGAATTAAATAGCACTCATGAACTCCTCAGTGAGTTTGAACATGTAGAACTTAAAAAGATGTACCAAGACAGACAAAACTTACCATCACATCTAAAAGGTATATATGTTCATAAGTTCCTAGTTAGTTCAATAGCAATGTGGGCTTCACCTCGTTATGCAATCTACATACTTATGCTACTTGACGAACTTTGTACAAAGCAGAGAGAAGATATGATGAAAGAAGACAAAAGCATTCAGAAAAGAATACCACGTTCGGTACCAAAAGGAAAGGAAAAGAACTATAAGTATATGATTTATACTGAAGAGATGGAAAATGAAGAAGACAGTGACATGGTTATGTTGCATTTAGTCAGAAGAAACAACAAAAGCTTTTACGACCTTGCTAAGATTTACAAATCTGACAGAAATTGGTTCTATCGCGAAAACTTACCGATTTCAATGACACCGAATGAAGATGTGAAACAAATAGTTCAAGATACGTTACCTCAAACACACTATGATATTAAAGGTTGTACAATACTTACCTTCAAAGAAGATTTGCCGCTACTGAAAGAAAAAATAACAGAGTATTTTGACAACTTCAAACAAGTAGGGTAGATGAACCATTTATTTTTACGCTTGACTTCAGATGGCTCAGGTAGCTCTATAAAGTAAATTGCCTCGTCAAATCCTTCTGGCATTCCGAATCCTTCCTTCTGGCATTCCGAGTCCTTCCTTCTGGCATTCCGAGTCCTTCCTTCCGACAGAAAAAGTTTTTCCTTCCAACAGGAAAAGTCCTTCCTTCCAACAGGAAAAGTCCTTCCTTCCAACAGGAAAAGTCCTTCCTTCCGACAGGAAAAAAATTTCTTGACAACTGGAAAAATTTTTCTTGTTGTCCGTCCGTAAACCATTCAAATTTTCGAAAATTGAGAACTTTTTGGTCGAACTTCAGAAAAAGTTTTTCCTTCCGACAGAAAAAGTTTTTCCTTCCGACAGGAAAAAAATTTCTTGACAACTGGAAGAACTCTTCCTTCCGACAGGAAAAAAATTTCTTGACAACTGGAAGAACTCTTCCTTCCGACAGGAAAAAAATTTCTTGACAACTGGAAGAACTCTTCCTTCCGACAGGACACAAACGAATGTCTCACGTCCCTCTTCCTGAATGCCTTCCAAAGCCAGAAGAACCGACAGCCCCAGCACCACAACAGACTTACTAAGACTAAACACTTAGATTTTTCAAGCTTGACTTTTTACAATTTGAACTTTGTTCGCGTAGATATGAATTCTGAAAGAAGTATGAGGGTCTTGTATGACTTTGTACTTCTCCCATAGTTCATGTCTGTCAAACTTACCTGCCATGGACTCTTTCATAAGTTCCATGAAATCGTCTTCGGACAATCCAGGGAAAAGTATGATATCAGTAAGTATTCTTTTAACATCCTTACTTAAACTCTTTGCTGTCTGTACACAAATGACAACTGAGATGTTAAAGTGTCTGAGCTTCTTGAGAATTCGACACATGTCTTGTTCTCTGTTCTTTAACAAAGGATGAGAAGCAAAGTCATCTAAGATAAGAAGACATCTGTGAGGGTAAGTCTTCCAATCGTAAGATTGCAATTTCTTCGAAATGTATTCTATCTCTTTCTGTTTGTTTCTGAAGTGTTTCTTCTCTAATATTCTCTGCATTTCCTCATTTGGGTCTTTAAACTTCGAATTGACATACTCATTTATAGCATTGTACTTCAAAACTCTTCTTTGGTACTTCTTTATCCAATCTAACAACTCAGAGTCTTTTATACATACTAACTTAGACTTTTTTATAATATCTTTGAACGAATTGACGGTTTGGTCAAATTGACCAGAAGTACTACAAATGACAACTAACTCATAAAATGGGTTCTTCTCATCTAGTTCTTGTTGTTGTGCAGCCATTTTAAGATAAGTGAAAGTCTTACCCGACCCAGGCGGTGCGATTAGACCTGTTATACCATTCTGAGCAAATAAGAACTTGTCATGTATGGGTTTTATCTGAGCATTTTCCAACTTCCTCTTGTTCTTGTTTAAAACATTCTCAAATTTCTTGTCAATGTCAGCAAACTTTTTTTCTAACATATTTTTAGAAAAATTAAAAATTTTATCTTTTAGGAAATGTCTAGCGATTTCGCTATCTATATTCGAGACAAGCTTTTCGACAGCAAAACATCTGTCGACCATAAAATCTTACATAGTGTAAACAAGAAAGGTGAATTTGTTCTAAAGTTCTGTTTCTGGGAATATGACAAGAACCATAAAACATTAAGCAGAGCAGTCTTAAAATTTGTCAATGACAGACTTGTTGACAGAGATGACGCCGATTGGAAAGATGAAGTCCAACAAAAGTTCTTAGAATGCAAAGAAGACACATGCGCTGTTCTTGAAGATGAAATAGGAAACAGAATAGAAGAGCTATTAAAGGACAAAGAACTTTTACATAAATATGGTTCTGAGAAGTTTGACATAACTCCACCAGAGAAGAAGAAGAAGAGAGAGAAGAAAGAAAAGAAAGTAGAAGAAGAGAAGAAAGAGCCAGAGCCAGAGCCAGAGAAAAAGAAATTTGACATGTAAAAATAAAATTTTATTTTTAGAACATTTCTGGGTCAATGTCAATGTTCTCTTCCTCTTTAGGAGCAAACACTGGCTTAGACTCTAAAATCTTTTTACCCAATTTACCTTGAACTTCAACTATCTTAGACTCATAATATTCATAGTCGTCTGCTTTCTTTGGTTCATAAGGTATAACAAGTTTGTATGCTTTGCCTTCTTTAAGGTTTGAAAACCTTCTGTCAAAATTTTCTTTGACTGCTAACAAACCTTCTATGTCTAAGTCTTCAAATTTCGCACCATTTTTAGTCACAACAGCAAACTTAACTGGTTCGATGTTCCAAACTTTGTCAAATGTAGACTTTTCAAAATGGTAGAAGTAAACATTCAAATAAGCGAATGGGTCTAGTTCTTCTTTGACTTCTGTCATGTACTTGTTGACTGAAATATATTTCGTCATCTTTTCTATCGGATAAAAAAATATTTTTTTTTAAAAAACGTTTTAAAATGGTATGCCATATAGCTTCTTGAATTTGTTAAGAAGTATTTGAACGTATTTTCCATCTGTATCTCTAGCGTTTACATAAGCATAGTCCGCCTTAGTAAAACATACTTGTAATTTTCTATAGTTTACGCCGGTATAAAAGTAGAAAGAGTCTTGTTCTTCGCTATAGTAGTAAAACTCAAACGTATGCTCGCCATAGTCTGTAATTTCAATTGCTTCATCTTCTAGTTCGTCGACAAATTCGAATACTATATCTCCAAATTTGCCTCTGTTCTTATTGTTTTCAGAACGAGTAACCCAACGTAAGTTCTCAAGTCTATTGTCGTTTCTTATACGGTTTATATGGTCTACAAAAGGTAGATTGTTAGGATTCGGTATAAAATGAGTTGCAATGACAACATGTTTAAAATAGCATTTCCCACTCATCCTCATAATAGCATATCCTTTATTTCCCTCCCATCCGCTTAAAACTCTTTTTGTCTCTTTGTTTCTGACTTCAAATGACTCACAACAGTGAATTTCATATTTCTCATCTAACAAACAAGTTTCCCAACGGTCCTTTCCAACAAACTCAGCGTACATTTCAAATAAAATAAAAAAATATTTTTTTTAAAATTTACTCAGAAAAATTTTTCTTTGTATATACGCCGTTCTGAACATCTAAAAGATTTTTGACATTTGCCAAGAATGTTCGTTTAGACGCTGTCATATAACCATACTCTTGGCAATATTGTTTATATGAATCGTACAATGACCTTTCATCTAAACACTCAAAGTCGTTTTCATCTATAAACAGTTCATATACACTCTTGTTTGCTTCTAACAATGTTTGTCTCTCTTCGGTATGTGGAATTTGTCTTGGATTGAACTTTGAAATATCTAATGTCATGAAATATGAGAACAAGTGGTTGTAAAAGTTAGGTGTCAAAGTTTCTGCTAAGTCGTCAAAATATTCTGTATCTTGCATATGAGAATCTGACGTTCTGACAACTACATATCTTCTGTCAGAACTTTCTAACTTCATCGGAACAACATTGTTTGAAACCATGATGAAATTTGCAACATTTTCACAAACTCTTTGGTCTTTATATTTTCTTTCAACAACTCCAACTTTGTCTGTTATAAGACTCTTCAAAGCATCTGAGTTTAAAACCTTTGTTGTATCTATACTTTGAAGTTCGTTACATACTATAAGTTTCATATTCTCTATTGAAGAGTTAAATTTACCGCAGATGTTTTCTAAGTTTGTCATATTAGGGTTCGAATAGCCCTCTAACAGTTTGCACAAGATATCTGTAAAGAAAGTGTTCTTACCAGTTCCTTGTTTTCCAATTATAATGAGAGCAGTTTCATTTTTAGCACTTGGATGTTGTAAGATGTTTGCAAACCAACATAAGATATACTCATAGACTCTTTCGTTTCCATTGCATATAATTTCTTTGACATGGTCTAACCAAGCTTCTATAACATTTTCTTTCCATTCTACTTGTTCGTATTTATATCCAGTGAAGATAGAATAGAAGTTTGGAGATGGTGTATAGAACTTTATACCACGAACTGAAAAATCTTCTAACTTTGACAATAAGATATCCCAAGCATCTAACATCTTCATACCAACTTGTACGACTTTTATTTTCTTAAGTTTCTGTCTACATTCTTGTTCTGAAACTATGGTTGCTCTTGGTTTGTTAAAGACAACATCCCATTCTTTCATGACATAACATTCTGGGGCAGAGTCGACATAAATGACTAAACGTTTCAAATTCTCGACTGCTTTGTTATAGTCTCTAAATGGACACATATTTCTGAACGCTTGGAAGTCATAAAAATCTGAAACGTCTATTCTGTACATTTTTATAAAAATAAAAAAAATATTTTTTTTATTCTTGACTTTGTTGTTGCATTTGTTCCATTTGTTGCATTTGTTGTTCTTGAGCTATTTGTTGTTGAAGTTGTTCTTGTAGTACAATACTTTCACCAGTTGCATCTTCCAATTCGAAACTTTCTGCCGTCATTGACAAATACATAGGACATAAAAGTTTTACAGGAACAAAGTTTGCGTCAACTAAGGTTAAGTTTATGTTTGCTAAAGTGTTTGAGTTTACTAAAGCTGAAAACTCTGCATTCGAATGAACAATAGGCAAACCAGCAGAGAAAGTGTTGTTTATACGCATGAGTATCTTTTGGTCATAGTAGTTTCTGTCGACATTCGAATAGCACTTTGAACCTAAGTTTGAAACAATATATAAAATAGGTGTACTTAAAGTCAATGGAACGGATAGACCTTGTATGACACCTTTTCCTGTTATAGGAAACTGTTGGTAGTAAAAACCAGATATAAGTTTTGTATTATAGCTCATATCGTTTATACTAAACTCAGTCGGACATCCAAACATAATGAAACCTGCTCTAGTTGCAGCACATGTTACATCCGTCCTTAAAGTATTAAATAAGTCAACAAAACCTGTTGGTGGTATATCTGAGTAAGTATCTTCAAAGAAGTATTTTTTACCATTCACAACAACAAAGTCTTCTGGTGTCAAAAGAGCAAAACAGGCTTTAGTCGTCATCGTGTTTAAGGTCAGTTTACAATATCGTCCTTGAGGACTTTGTAAGTTTGTTGTTATAGAATTATATGACTCAGGGTTTTTAGTCGTAATAGTATAAACCACTATGTCTTCTGCCATTTACTTAGCAACTAAATTTTAATGAAATGTTGTGGTCGTCAAATATTTTTATGACGTCTGGGAAACTATATTTTAAGTTCAACGTTTCACCTCCTTTCATAACGTATATCTTGTCAATGACATTATATGAAACACCACAGCAACTAACGTCGGGTTCTATTTCTTTGATGTTTATATCGTCTGCCTCTGTCAAAAGTTTCAATAGTTCTTTTCAAAACTTCATGAGGTGCGATGACATATGAGTTCACTTTTACAGGGTTGTGCTCAACCAAGTTTAACATTATACCCAAAGCTTGACAAATCTTCTCCTGAGTTTTAAGTTTGTCTTTAAGTTGTTGGTAGTCGTTTCGAATATCTGCAACAGAACTTAAGTCTCTGCTAACTTCAGGGTATGTTGGTTGTTCTTTTACAGGAACTATTGTTATACCATCTTCGTCTTCGTATGGTTTCCCCACTTCAACATCTCTTTCTTTGACATTGACAACAACACTTTGACTGTTTGTTTGAGTTGGTGAATTTAACTTCACATCTGCCACCGCCATTAAACCTTTTGAAACACTTACGCTTCTATTTTTCGGAAATGACATTTTACTAAGAATAAAAAGATGGACGTATTTGAGTATCTCTTCGAATTGAAGCAAAACAAAGTTTACACACACAAACAATACAAGTTCATTGACAGAATAGTTCTTTATACAAACAATGGAAAATGTTATAGAATAGCAGTCTTTGCTGAACCAAAATATTTTCATAAAGCAAAGAAAGTTGGTATAACTGAAATGGTGAAAGTTCTTGACGTTGACAAAAATATAACAACAAAACTGACCGATATTTCTAAAGGAAAGTTTATAATACAATATTATATCAAAACTGGCGTACTGTCAATATTTGACGGAGAGAAGTCAGTTCAAGAACAACTTACTGACCTGCTGCCAAAATCTGCTCGATGGAAGCTGTCGTTATGCCAATCTGAGGAGCCCCAGCAGGTTTCATCGAACGAATCTTCAAAAGAGCATCTTCTGTGAAAAGTGCTATTGGTTTTGTAAACTTCTTTGCTCTCAGTTCATCTGGACCGTCTCTGTCACCAGTATATTGTATTTGAACTGTACCAACAGTTGAAATACCACCCATAAAGTCTTCTGAGTCAGCAAATGGAATGCCAAGCCAAAAGTTTGAACGGTCTCCATTTGTATATTGAGTTTTTGACCTCCTGTATGAGTCCATACTTTCACATATGGCATAATAGAACTTTGCATTTCAGGGTTTATGGTTGTTGTGAAGTTGTTGTTAAAGTTCATAGCATCTAATGTCAAGTTGTATGACCTCATATCCTCAACTGTAGAATATTCTTCTCTTGGATAGTATTTGCCATCTATGTTTATATGGTATTTAATACCAGGGTTGTAGAAGCAAGAATAGTCATTTATAGTTCGTCTGAACAGTACAAACATAGTATCTGCATGTTTTCATTGCAGTTGTTAAAGCAATATCTGTTCTTGCACCTGGGTCAGCACTTTGGTTTCCAACTTCACCTGCAAAGTCTTTGACAGATATTTGGTGTATAGGGAACATAAGTGGAACTGCAATATATTTGGCAGCTAAAGCATTTGAAATATCTGGGTCCAACATATAGACTGCAAGTCTGCTTTCTATTCTCTTGCATTCAAACTTTTCGCATGTGAACTTAACTGGGTCCCAAGCATCTCCAGCAGCATTGAAATAATAGTTTACTTCAGTGTTGAGGTTTGAGAAACCAAAGTCTAAGTCAACTTTGTTTTTGCAAAAGTCGGCGAATGACATTTTATTTGTTCCCACTACTTCTGTAAGAGTGAATGGGTCTTGTGTTTGGTGCAATGACTAAGTTATTTTTGCTTGGAGTAAGTTCGATAGAAATTTTTCCTGCCCAGTTTGGCAAGTATCTTAAAAACCTGAAGATGAGGAAAGATGACAAAGGAACTCTAAGTTTCAGTTTTACTTTGGTTACTGCTGCTGCAGTTTGTCCAGAAAGGTCAACATAAACTCCTGGAACGTTAGGGTCAAGTCTTCTTATTTTCTCAATAGTTGCATACTGGTCTGTTTGTTCTCTAGCTTGTGGTTGTACTGAGTTTCTCAAAGCGAACCATTCATAGTTTGCCCATGTTACTGTTTGAACTAAGTCAGAGTTAGAATATATCTTATATCCCATGAAAACTTCTGGAGCATATTGGTATCCGACATAGAAAATTCCATTGCAACCTTTCTTGTCAGACAACTTGGCAGAAGGTTTTATTTCAATGTCTTGTTCCACGTATAAGAATGAGTTGTCAATAGAAATAATATGAAACCTGTCGCAAGCAATATCTACTGTTGTTGAAGAACCTTCTCCAAACTCACCTACATTTCCATAAGAAACAGCAGTTGTATATTCGTAAGTTCCAGGAACTATTTCTGACCTTCTAATGGCATTGTCGCATTCGTTATACCATTCGGAAACATTTCCATTCATAGCATCCAAAACTGTTGGCGTTATATTCTGAGCGGCGTACATTTCATATGAGTAAAAATATAGAATAGTTGGATTTATGTGTCATAATAGAACCCACGTGGACCAAGCTTTACTTTCTTCCTGACTGAGTTTTTAACTCTTCTTTTTCCTTCATTGCCCTCTGCTTGAAGTTGTTGCATCTTTGCATTATGTTCATCTAGTATGTTGCAAATTTCCCATGTCCTTTTTGCCTTTTGGCTCTGGTCGCCCATCTCAGGTAACCTATATCCTAGAAAGAGTTTGTCATAGTCTGTATTTGAGTCTTCGCGTATTGTTTGCATGACTCTTTCCTGAGTTTCCGGTTCAAGCTCTTCAAACAGTGCCTGTCCATATGGAATATGCTCGTTTCCAAATATATGTTTTTGTAGCCATTCTGGTTTTCTTTCCATGTTACCAACTATATCTTTTGTGAATGGGAAAGCTTCTACCCAATCTTTCAGTCTTGCGTCGTTTATTTCTGTAGTTGGTTTTATTTTGTCAAGGAACATGTTTTTCAATACTAACATTTCATTTGGTACTGTCCATTTGAGTTTTCTTAAATATTCATCCCTTCTCGGTTCATTGTCTGCAAAGTAAGTTTTTATGACATTTTGCAAACTTTCGTTTGCAAGGTCATGTACAATAGGTTCTCTTCCTTCTGTCTCCCTAACTTTCTTTCTAAACTCTTCACCAAATATACCATCTCTATGGTTCTGTGTAGTTCTTTGAGATAAATGTTCTAGAACGTCAGGTGTTATATTTCCATCAGCCATGTTCATTTCATACTGGTCCAAAATATCTGCATGTTTCATATCTTTCAATGGCATTAAAGCCGCGCTTAAAATACCAGCTATATCTGGTTCACCATTGACTTCCATTGCGTCTACAACTTCTTGGAATTGTGGTTGTAAGTTTATGAACCACCTATCCGGGTTAGCTTTATGACCCCATCTCATTGTAGTTCCATCGTCTGCAGAAACAAAAGTAGGTTTGTTTCCATCTTGGTTAGGTTCTGAATGAACTTTAAACAATGTTTCATTTCTATATGTTTTCTTGAAATTTAACCTTTTATTTTCACCGAGTTCATCCGAAGATTGAACGTTAAATGCTCGTAAGTAAAAAGGGTTGTTGTATTTGTGTACATTTTCTTTCAGTGCTTCCATTCTATGCTGAATATTTTCATCTGGTGCTGGAGTCTTTTGTATGTCGGCAAACATTTTTCGATATTCTTCTACTATGTCAGCCGAATTTTTTTTAGACTCCTGGAAATATTCCATATTCTCCGCATACTCTTGTTGAGGGTCAAGATTTTTCGGCTGTTCCAAATCTTCATCTAGTTCTGTGAAGTTAGTTTCCAAAGGAGTGACTTGTTCGTTTCCTTCAGGCTCTTCTAGCTGTTGTTGCTGAACTATTTCTTCCATGTCTGGTTGTATCTGAACTTCTTCCTGTGGAGTTTCTTGTACCTCATCTGCTGGCATTTCATATATTCCGAGACCGTTTTCAACAATTTCCCTATCTACGTCATCCGCATTCATAAGCTTTTGTTCTTTCGTTCCGTCTCTATTTTTTACGCGTTTCATGACGAAAGTTGAATTGTCATTTAGCTCTGACATCAAATATCTCGGAGTAAATTCATCCATGTCATTTGGATGATATGCTATTAAATCATATCCCTTAGCGAGCTTGTATTTTCCAGGTTTGAGATTATATCCGTTTTGGTGCTGAGCCATAAAGCTAAATAGGTTCGGGTCAGTATTTCCATCCTTGAACTTTCTAATAGCTTCTTTATATCTGTCACTAAAGTCAACAGTATCTGGGAAACCACACTCTTCTTTAAGCATTTTTAAGAATTCTTGGTTTCCTTGTTCTCTACTTCTTTTATGTCCTTGTTCTGTTTGTGGTTGTTGTTGTGCAGGGTTTTGAACTGTTGGTTGCTGTGCTGGTTGTTGTGTTGGTTGTTGTGCTGGTTGTTGTTGTTGTTGTGTTGGTTTTGGTGCATGCCTGTGTCTGTGTCCATGTGACGATGTAAATGTTCTAGGTAGTCCTGGTGCAGGTGCTTCTCTTGGAGGGTTTGGTGGTATATAAGTTCCACCAGCTGGCACATATGTTCCATCTGCAGCGTAATGTCCTACCTGACTTTTCGTTTTTAAGAAAGCATTTACTAGGTCTGTTTTGGTCTGTTGTAACTCTTTTTCTTGACTTTTCACAACAGTTGCTCTAACGGCGTCATAGGCACTTTGAACTGCCTGTCTCGTTGCTGCATCTGTTATTTTCGTCATATTTTGTGCTACTTCTTTTAACTCTTTGTCGAAACCTTCAGACTTCAGTTTCTTTCCAGATGAGAAGTCGTTCACTTGTTTCACCTTACTATGAAGAGCTTCGAAAGCGTTCTTAAAGTCAGCATTTGTTAAAGCTTCATTTGAACTATCTTCATCCGCTTGTATTTTTGTCCTTATTGACCCTATAAGCTGGGCTGCTTTAGCGTTGGCTTGGGCATCTAACCAGTCATTGTTAGCTTTTATATATTCTGCGCTTTTCATTGCCTTTTGCATAGCCGCGTCGTTATTTTTACTTTCTTGTGCTAAGTTTTCATACTGTACGGTTTGGTTTTGCAACTGTAAAAGTTTTTCTGCCTTTACATTTGCTTCAACTTCTTTTTTATACTCATCGCTTTCCATATATGTCTTCAGGGCTTTTTGTTTTATCTCTTCATCTTTCAGTACTTTATATTGAGTAGTATGGTTTTTCAAATTTATGACATCTTGTTCCATTTTTGCTACTTCTGTTGCTTTTTCTGACACTTTTTTCGCATATTCCTCTGTACTTAGTTCTTTCAGTTGTTCTTCTTTCTTCTTTTTTTCTACGTTTAACTCATTGAGTTTCTTTGTGTGTCTGTCATATTCTAGTTTCTTTTCGTTTTCACCTATTTGCTTCTGTATGTCTATGTTTGACTTTTTGACATCTGTTATTTGATTTTTGAGTGAACTCAAATTCATTTGACTTTGAGGGTTATATGCTGTTCCGTCTGCAGCTCCACCATAGCCTGCCATTTTCGCTAAAAGTGCCGCTCTTAAACCTCCACTCTGTGCACCAACAACTCGGTTTAAAAGCATAGGATTGCTTGACATTTGTTGCAACATAGTGGGGTCATTCAGCATTTGTTGTTGCAACTGTTGTTGTGGTGTCAGTTTTACTATTGGATGTTTCAATGCTCTCTTCCTCTTACGTATATTCTTACGTAGCTTACGTGGCATTTTAAGTGAAGTTAAAAAGCGGTTTTTGACAGATGTTTTATTGTGACTTCTTCGTAAAGACTTTGTTGAGATTTCTTCGTAAATGAGTGTAAATGACCCAAAAATATATTTTAGGGTAGAAGGGTAGATCTACCCCGTTTTCTACCCTCATTTCTACCCTCTTGAATTTTCATGAATTTCTTCGTAAAGACTTTGTTAAGACTTCTTCGTAAAGACTTTGTTGAGATTTCTTCGTAAAGACTTTGTTAAGACTTCTTCGTAAATGAGTGTAAATGACCCAAAAATATATTTTAGGGTAGAAGGGTAGATCTACCCCGTTTTCTACCCTCATTTCTACCCTCTTGAATTTTCATGAATTTCTTCGTAAAGACTTTGTTAAGACTTCTTCGTAAAGACTTTGTTGAGATTTCATCGTAAAGACTTTGTTGAGATTTCATCGTAAAGACTTTGTTGAGATTTCTTCGTAAATGACCCTAGTAGTATATTTTTGGTGTAAAATTCATGAAAATTCAAGAGGGTAGAAAAGAGGGTAGAAAACGGGGTAGATCTACCCTTCTACCCTAGTAGTATATTTTTGGGTCATTTACACTCATGAACTTTCTTGTCTATGTTTTGTTAAGATTTCTTCGTAAAGACTTTGTTGAGATTTCTTCGTAAATGACCCTAGTAGTATATTTTTGGTGTAAAATTCATGAAAATTCAAGAGGGTAGAAAAGAGGGTAGAAAACGGGGTAGATCTACCCTTCTACCCTAGTAGTATATTTTTGGGTCATTTACACTCATGAACTTTCTTGTCTATGTTTTGTTAAGACTTCATCGTAAAGACTTTGTTGAGATTTCTTCGTAAAGACTTTGTCAAGACTTCATCGTAAAGACTTTGTTGAGATTTCTTCGTAAAGACTTTGTTAAGACTTCTTCATAAATGTTTTGTCAAGACTTCTTCATAAAGACTTTGTTGAGATTTCTTCATAAATGTTTTGTCAAGACTTCTTCATAAAGACTTTGTCAAGATTTCTTCGTAAATGTTTTGTCAAGACTTCTTCATAAAGACTTTGTCAAGACTTCTTCGTAAAGACTTTGTCAAGACTTCTTCGTAAATGTTTTGTCAAGATTTCTTCGTAAATGTTTTGTTAAGACTTCTTCGTAAATGTTTTGTTAAGACTTCTTCGTAAATATTTTGTCAAGACTTCTTCATAAAGACTTTGTCAAGACTTCTTCGTAAATGTTTTGTTAAGACTTCTTCGTAAAGACTTTGTTAAGACTTCTTCATAAATGTTTTGTCAAGACTTCATTTATACTCATTCATCCTCAGGGCTAGAAGGCACGAAGTGCCTGGAAGCCCCACTCCCTTTTTTTTTTTTTTTTTTTTTTTTTTTTATTAAATAATAGTTGTTTATAAATTATATTATATTATCATTTAATATTATTTTGATAATGAAGATTTTATTTTGCAATAATATAAACGAAATTTTTTACCTTATGAACTTTTGATGGAAATATGCAAATTTAAAATAATAAAGAAAGCCGCGAGCGAAGCGATCGGCTTAGTTCGAAGATTTTGATTCAAATCTTTGCTGATCTGTAATTCGCGGAAGCCGCGAGCGAATCGAGCGGCTTAGGTCTAAGATTTTGATTCAAATCTTTGCTTATATTCCTTAAATTCTTTATGAAACTCGCAACAGTTCCATAAAAAATTTTAAATTCTAAACTGTCGAAATTACCGATCGGTAATCACACCCTTCACGGGTGTGTCACTTTTAGCTAAAATTACCCCTACTCTTTTCGCTACTGGTGCCAAAAAGTTTGCAACGGGTTTAATAATCTTTTTATAAACCCAACCCGCAGCTTTCTTAATGAGTAGGGGTTTATAAAAAGGTTATTAAACCTGTTGCAAACTTTTTGGCACCAGTAGCGAAAACGGCAGGAACTATCATAGGTGGAGTATTAGGTACAAAAGCAGGTAATCCAGCGATGGGAGCACAAGCAGGTAACGCAATTGGTGGAATTGCTGAAGGAATACTTAATAAAATAGGAGGTAAATAGTGGAAAAATAAATAAATATTATTTTTATCTTAGTATCGGTTGAAGTCTTTGATAAACTTTTTCTCCTTTATTTAATATTTCTCTTATTGGGGCGGCTTTTGGCGTTATTGATTCAGCAACGTCACTAATTGCTTCTTTATTCTTAAATATCCAATTTGCTCCTTTCTTCATTGTTTCCCAAACTTTATGCGCTCCTCTTTTTACTTTATCCCACAGTTTCTTAAATATACCTGCAGCCATAGTTGATTATTTCATTAAAATTAAAAATTCATTTTCATCTTTTAATTTTGATTTTTTATTTATTAATAAATGACGACTAACTATTTGGTGCCAAACACTAAACCGATTAATGGAAATGTATTTCATTCATTCGAAAAGATAAATGAAATATTCGCAAAGAATGACGGTAGAAGATATTATAGAGAACTTGAAAGTTCATGCTATGACTCTGATGCTCCATATTTTGATGATAAACAAACTCATTTAAGAATTACAAATCCGGCTCATGATGTGAACCAATTAGGTGACACATATATTAAACGCAAAGTTAAAGCAACTCTAGTTTCAAATAAAGCTTTCACATGTGATGCCGCTTTTAAATGCATGCGTTTATTCGTTGGTTACAAATCATCAAATCAAAGCTTTAAACAATTAGAAGTAGAAACCGAAAGAGGTGATGCCGGTTATCTTCAGATGGATTGCGCCCGTGAATCTTTCGCATTTGCAACATATAAACCAAAATCAGAAAGGAAAGTTAAAAAGTTTGTTCATTCGTTATATAATAATGTTCAAAAATATGATAACTCAGTATGTGGTAAATATATTGACCCTTCAGAAGTTTTCAAGAACGCAAATGAAGAAGTTGATGTCACTTTTGATATGATTATTCCGGTAAATGATTTGTTAGCATTTCAGGCGTTCGATGATTATCCTAAATCATTTGGTGAAATCATTCTTAAATATTATGTTTTCAGGGATACTTTAGTATTTTGTCAGGTTGACCCGTTAAGAGTTGCTGATTTACAAAATTACGTTTATGAAAAGATAACTGATGAAAATTATGAAAAGATTATGAATCATGTTTATAAATATGATCGTAAATTCCAACAAATCGGACTTCCTGCCAAATTAATTACAAGCTTAGCCGCCATCTGCTGACGCAACAGTTGATAACGTTATTATTTCATGCACAAAGATGGAAGTTTTAGAGGATAAATGCATTACACCAGGATATGGTTTAATTGAAGAATCAGTTAAAGCAATACCACGTTTATTCAGTAAGGAAGATCCATTCATGATTCCAGCTCAACATATTGACGTTCGTTCACTAAATGGAGGTTGCATCACTCCTGAAGGTATCAGCTCAGATTTCTCATACGCTCTTCATAATGTTACAGATGTTGTGTTAACATTTCCGAAGAATGCAATGCAAAGAACGGTTTTAGAAAATCCAATGCTTCGAGGTCTTCAGGTCACTATAGATTCCAGAAACTTCCCCGATCAAGCGATGACCACAGTGGGTGACATATTCTTTACACGTATGCTTCAAGCTTCTGATTTAGATGGAGTGAATGAATGCACGGAAGAATACGAGGACTCATTAACTAGACCACTGAATGATGATAATGGCACGCCATTAGCTAGAACATGGAAAGACCAAACTTCATTCTTATGCACTATTCCAGTTCAACGTGATGGAGCGGTATATTCTTTGATGGATTAGAAACTTTCAACTCACAAGTTACAGTACAAGTGAAAGCTTATCCAATCATTCAGGGTGAAAATGACACTTACTGTTCAAAGGTGACAAATCCTCCTCAGGTTTGGTTTACTAGGACTACGTATTGGACATGGACACCGGATGAAGGTTTGAAATATCATCCAACAGGTACACCACCGCAGTATAGAAGTTCATATGATGAAATATTGATGAATAGAAATGTTTAAAATTATAAATTTATTTTTGATTAAATGGATTTAAATTCTGAAGAATTAGCAGGAGTATATAATACATACATAGATGATATGATTAATGAAGCATTGAGTGATAATAGAAATGCTCTATCTAAGGAAAAATTAATGAAAATTCCATATTCTGAATGTTACTTAAATTCAATCACTGCAGCAATTGGTAAACAAAATAAAGGTAAAACATTAACGATATTAAAACAAATTATCATTATTGCTAACACTTCCCCCTATTCACATGTGTTAATTTATATCAACCGTTCAGGTTCACCTTCAGATGATACATTTGAATCTTTAAAGCATTTAATCAAAATTCCAATTATTTATTTATCACAAGAAGAAGCAGAAGATTATTTAAAAAACTTTTTAATGTATAAAGAATTATATAATACAATCAAGAAGCAAGGATTAGAGGATAAAATTATTGATAAACAACGAGATGAATTATTTGAAACACTTTCTATTTCAAATTTTGATAAAGAATTTTTGCATTCACTCATTTTTCTAGATGATGCAGTGAAATCAAAACTAATAACTAATGAGAAATCATATTTTAATCAGTTATTAACTCAATGTCGACACATTCAGTGTTCATTCTTTATGGCTGTTCAATATTTCAAAGCATTAAGCACAAACATTAAATCAAATCTGTCCACCCTTTTCATTTTCAGTGGGTTTAGTCGTCAACAGTTGAACGTTATGCTTTATCAAGTGAATTTACCAATGAGCATTAATGAACTTTACACACAATATCAGCAATTAGGTGAACATGGAAAAATAATAGTTGATTTAAATAAAGGAGGTGTTAAATTTGATTAACTTTTTATAATTAATTTTTATTTTTTATTTATAATTAAACATGACAGAAATAGCAAATCTTCTACAGGTTCCATTAAAACAAGGGACAAACAAAAAGGGTGCATATTATAATAGAACTATGAAAGTTCCAGATGGAATGAAAGAATTAGTTCATATTGTTGCTGGTCTTC